GCTCTGTCAGTGGGGTTCCCAGGGCTCTGTCAGTGGGGTTCCAGGGCTCTGTCAGTGGGGTTCCAGGGCTCTGTCAGTGGGGTTCCCAGGGCTTGTTGTTTAGCCTTGTTTCGATTCCTCCTGCCTTCTTCACTGCACATGTCTTGCCGCTCCAGGACACAGTCTTAGAGCCAGGTCATCCCCATGGGCCTGCGCACACGTGCACACAAGTCTCAGAGTCATAGAGCTCTGGTTTAGCCCCCCTGCCCCTCCTCCCCCAGGCTTGGGTCCTCTCTCTGTCACCCTGCCCCATCATGTCCTGAGCTGGCTGCTGACCACAGTGCTCACAGGGGCTGCACTGCTCTAAGCTCCTACCCAGTTTCTTGGCCTCTGTCTTTCTAGCCAGGCTGGTCAGTGCTCCTCAGCTGGCATTGGGTCTTGGGCTGCTGGCGGTCCATCTTCTTGGGTGGGGTTGAGGACCCCCGCATTGGCCTTGCACCACCTAGTGTTGTTGTGAACTTCCTGGCAGTGTAAGGCTCTGTGTGGAGGGCGGATGAATTGGGATGGTCCTATGAAAAGGTCACTTCAGATTGTCACTTTATTGCCAGAATTTCCCCCACTCGGACCTGCTTACCATTTCACATGTGCCTGCAGCCTGCCTGTTGTCACAGTCCCGGTGCTTCGTTCTGCCACCCCTTGACTGCTTACTGTCTGTCTGACTCAGAGCTTGTAAAACTCCCTGCCATCAAGTCGATACCGACCCTGTAGGGCAGAGGAGAACTGCTGCTCTGGGTTTCTGGGACAAACTCTTCACAGGAGTCAAAAGCCTCATCTCTCTCCCAAGGAGCGGCTGGTGATTTTGAGCTGCTGACCTTGCATGACAGCCCAACACACAACCACTCCAGAGTGAGAGCTTGCACTTCCCAAGTTTCCCCTTTGGGAATCCTGGAAGATGCCCTGGCTTAGTTGCTTTTCCCGAGGTTTGTGTTTGCTTTGTTGGCCACAAGAGGGAGCCGTGGACCTAGGACGCTCTCGAGTCCGCCTCCAGTCCCCGCCCCCAGATGTAAGCCGAGCCACCTTGGGCTGCAGGTTCTCCGAGAATCCAGTGTTTGGACCATCCTCCGCCCTCAGATGTGCTGGTGTGTGTGGGAGTCTTGTGCCAGCCGGCTCACAGACTGGACGACGATCCGTTCCTGATCCTGGCACCAGCCTAGACCACTGTGACGCTTGGCCCACCCATCCTTGTGCCTGTGTGCGTGAGGGTTTGGGACCCTGGAACTTAGCAGTGTGTCTTAAAAGTATTTGTTGAAATTGATCTAGTAGCTGGGTCAGGTTTTTAAAGTTTACTATGTTTAGCTTTTGAGGCCAAACTTGAACGATTTCTAAAATTACAGATCGATGCCGATGGGTAGTTGCTGTGTCAGGGCCCCCGAGTCCGTTCTGAAGCAGAGGAAGACCCTGCCCTCTTCTGAGCCACCCCTGGATTGAGTCCCAGGCGAGACCACAGTGTAGTCTATCTTCTGCAATGCCTGCCTTCTTCTGCAGTGCCTGCCTTTTTCCCTTGACCGTGTACCAATTATCAAGCATGGTAGCTCTCCCGCGGCATGGATCTCCCGGGGGAGAAACGTAAGTAGGTGAGACAAACGAAGTCTTCCCATCCTTGCTCGTAAGGAGCATTCAGCACCAGTGTTCGTTCTTGTGGCAGGGCGTGATACTCCCAGCATTCTTTGCCAGCAGCAATCATTCAGATGCATCTCTTCTTCTCCAGTCGTCCTTACTCAGTGTCCAGTTTCCACGTGCACAGGAAGTGTTGAAAATACCATGGGTTTGGTCGGGCCCAACTTGGTCCCCGAAGTGACTTCTTTTCACTGCTTTAAAGAGGCCTTGTGCAGGGTTTCCCAACCACTGCATCATTCAGTTTTGTGACTGCTGCTTCCAGGAGCTTTGTGGCTCCAGGTAAACTGAAATCTGAAACGGCAGTCTTTCCTCCACGTGTGTTAGTGTTTATTGCCTATTGGTCCGTTTGGAATTTTGTTTTCTTTGAGTTATAATGCATACTAAAAGGTCCTTGAACTTCATCACCAAGTGCTTCGAGCCCTCTCTGCTTTCAGCAAACAGTTGTGTGAGCTGTATATAAAACTATATTAAGGAGTCATTTCCTCTTGAATTTGTCATTTCCCGCATAGTAAACCGTAAAATTGTTGGACTCACAATATCCCATACTAGTCTATTTTAGCGTCCTGATGTGTAAGATAACTGTCTTTATGCATTTCATCCCATTTAAACAACTTCCAATTTTCCTGCATTCACACGTCATTCACTCCACATTCCAATTACTATTGGATGTTTGCAGCTGTTTCTTCTCGTGCTTCCTCAGCAGAGGGAGATCCAGAAACCTCTGCTTCCCACAGGCCAGCGAGACTGTGGATGTTGAGGCGGTTGAGGGCCTTCCAACGAGGGGCTCGCCTGCCGGCACGGTAGACCCCACCCCACCACTGCTGCCCAGGAGCTTTCAGCGGCTCACCCCTGTTCCTTCTTCTTAGTCTTGCTCTTGGTCTGCAAGCTTCCCGAAACCTGTTCGCCAAAGACAACCCTGCTGGGACTTGAAGTAACAGTGACATAGCTTCCAGCAACACACAGGCAGTTCTCTCCAGAACCTTGGTGGCCTCTTGGATGATGCATTGGGCTGCTAGCCCCAGGTCAGCAGTTTGAAACCGTTAACCACTCCGTGAGGGAATGATGAGGCTTTCTACCCCTGCTAAGATTTACAGTCTCAGAAACCTACAGAGGACTGTTCCGTTCTGTCTTGTAGGGCCGTCACGTGGTTCCTCTGTCAACTGCTCCTGGGTTGGCAGTGTTTCTTTAGCTTCAGCTTGTGCTACTCGGTGGCACTGGATTGTGGTTTTGTCCGTTTGTTTCTCAGTTAATTGATAGTGAAGTGCGCATGCATGTGCAGTGTTCTTTAAGTGCGCTGCTGATCTGTCGTCTGTGGTTGAGTCCGTGGGATAACTTCAGTTCAGGGTGGGAGATTGCGTGAGTATGTCTGTAGGGGGGGTGGGCGCCGTCGAGTTGGCTCGGCTCCTAGCGACCCTGCACAGTCCTGCGCGTCCTCAGACGGTGGTGTTTGAGTCCGTTGGTCTCATTGAGGGTCCCCTCTGCTTTACCAAGCATGATACCCTTTTCTAGGAACTGGTCTCTCCTGACCACATGGCCGAAGTAGTTGAGTCAGTCTTGCCATCCTTGCTTCTAAGAGGCATTCTAGCTGTACTTCTTAGACAGATTTGTTTGTTCTTTTGGCAGTCCATGGGACTTGCAGTATTCTGCCGGATGATAGATTCAGGGTTCCCTGCCCTCTTTCCTCCAATATCAGTGAATCCAGGAAGTCTCGCTTTCTTGGGAAATGATGTTTTTTCCCTCCTATATTGTGGCAGTGGGGTACCATGCATTTCTCGGAATCTTACGGTGACTATGGTAATAGTTCCTGGAGGTGGTTACACCTGCAGCTTCTCTCTCTTTCCAGTTTCTGTGTCTCCTTGTCCTGGTGCTGCAGGCAAACCAGAGGGTGGTTGTATCCTGGATCAGGCTGAGTATTTTATAGCCAGAGGATGTTCTGGAATATCTAACTTACTTCTGGAAACAGGAATCTTGATTAAGGTTTGCCAGTTTTATCAGCCCTACGTTGTGGAAGAAAGCAGTGAGAAGGGAAGACAGACGGCTGGGTTGCAGAGCAGTGAGACCAGATAGGTTGGAGAGCGGCAGAGGAGCCTCTTTGTTTCCATGCGGCCTCGCACTGTCTGTGTTTCTGGACGTCTGCTCTTCTTTCCACTCGTGGCTCAGCCTGTGGCCGTCTGTTTCCACTCGTGGCTTAGCATCTGTTCTTTCAGACTTCTTTCCTGGGCGTGTATCTGCTGACAGAGTTAAATATTTATCATATGGCACTGCTGTAGTATTCTCTTCTTGAGCTCCTGTTGGTTTTCCTGTGCTACAAGCCACTGCTGCGGCACCACAGCCCACATTCCCTCTGAGCTGGTTTCCTTAGCTTCAGGCTGTCCTGTTAGACTGTGTCGTTAGTCCACAATGTGTGTCTGGTTGAGGGACGTGCAGGCGAATATTCCCTGGGCTACCAACGTCCTGAGCAAGGGCAGCTGGGATGCAGGGCTTTGACGCAAAAGCAGCGCAGACTCTAGTTTTCCCAATTTGGGTAAAGACCCGTCATGGGAATTGGAATGGGAAAGATGATGGTGGTAGAATCCCGTGAGCCTGAGGCCTGTCAGCGGAGTGGCAGGTGAACAAAACAGCCAGGCCACTGGTAGACACCGTGCACCAGCACTAGTAACCACCTGCAGTGCTTTGGCTATATTGCAGGGCAGGGTGGCGGGGAGATGGGGAGGGATTTCTGGGTGAGAAAACAAGATGTGGAAAGCGTGTCACTTTTGTAATGATATACGTGCCCCATAAACGCCTTGCACAGACACATGTGCAGTGAAGGCAGAGGAAACAGAAAGCCGTATGTGCAGTGGGTGCCATGCTTGCATGGGTGCTGACTGGAGGGCAGAAAGGAGAGGAGGAAACACGAAGGGAGGCTGCCCAGACCCAAAGCACACCGGGCTTCCCTGCTGGCTCCTAATGGTCAATGTGGGCAGGAGGTGTGCTGTGAATTGTAATTTTTTAATTTTTTTAAAGAAAGAGCAAGTTCCAGGAGTTTTTATTGTTTGAATAACAGCACACACAAAACCAGGCACAGAGCCGTCCCCGAGGAAGTGGTGCTCATGTTTCACTGGTTTCTGGCCTTGCTCCTTCATCTTCTACACATTTAGATATTTTTCTATTTATGCGATTAGGCATTTATTTTGATCACAAATACAATCCAAGTGTGAATAAATAATTGTTTTTTATCCTTTAATACGTCCCCCCACGTTCCTTTAAATAGAAAAAAAAAGGTGCTCAGTGCCTTCTCAGAGCCTCCAGGGCCGTAGTTGTCCCACCGTTGTTTTAAAAACAGACTGTGACTTGGTCTTCCCAAATCCTTCTTGAGCTACAGCTCTTGCGGCTAAATCCAGGCCGCGGTCCTTACTGGTATTGTCGATCGTCTCCAAAAGGGGAGGACGGTCACTGGGCTGAAGGCAACTGGGAGGGATCTTCCGCAAGCTGAGGACCACTGGGAAACTGCACGGAGGCACATCTTGTCAACAAGATACCAGCGCCTTCCATTAAAGCTAGGAGAGGGCCACCCATTGCCACGGACCCAACCATGGCCACTGGTCCATTTCTTGCCACCAGGATGGCTCCTGTTAGGTACCACTTGTGATGGAGTTCCAGGGGTCGTCTTTGTCTCGGACTTGAACCCTACTACAGTCAATCATGGAAAACAGACCTCCCCAAACTGCAAAACTGCCTCCCAACTGTGGGGCCTTGGTCTTAATCGCTGTCAGACTCCCTCGTAGTCTGTGGTTGACTCCCACTGGGGAATTCCGAAAACCTTTGATGGCTTGGAAGAGACTACCACCTATGGTGCCCAGTGTGCAGGCTCCACCCTAGCCGCCCACGATGCGCCCGGGCAAGGGGCTCACACATTCTCCCACACACATGCTCCTCCATCGTGACTCCAGCCGGATGCATGAATTGTAATTTAGACTCAAAACTGTACAGATCCTGCTGGTGCTGTCCAGAAGCACCCTGGGGTGGGACCTCTCAGGCACTGGCTCTGGCCCCACTTGGTCTGGAGCATTTTACTCTGGTTTGGGTGAAGTTTGCAGAGCAAATTAGCTTCCCTCTCAACAATTTACATACTCTGTGTGGGGATGTGAGTTGCAGTCCCCTCCTGTGGAAACACTGCACGTCCGTCCATCCTGGGTTCTCTGTTGTCCCTTTGTACATCTTCCTTGACCCCTCTGAACTTTGTTTTTGGCCAGATGCTGCCCAGCCCGTCTCCCACGGCTGATTGTCGCGCGGCGTAGGCCATTGCGCACGGTTGTTACGGTGTACTGATAGGAGCCCTGGTGGTGTAGTGGTTACAGGTTGGGCTGCTAGTTGCAAGGTCAGCATTTCGAAACCACCAACCGCGCAGCAGCCCGTTGAGAGTGACGGTCTGAGAAACTCAAGGGGCAGTTCCGCCCTGTCCTATGGCGTCGCTGTGAGTTGGCATCGACTCGGTGGTGAGTTTGTTTTTTAGCTGAAAGTCATCTCCTGGGGAGATGGGTATCTAAAAGCGAGAGCCCTGGTTCTTCTGTTAGTCTGTCAGACCAGTACGTCAGGCATTTTTTGTTCTGTACTTTGTCCCACGTGTCTAGGACCTTCCATGTGATTCCTATCAGAGGTTGGCAGTGGTCGCTGAGCTGGCTCGTTCTGGTTTCAGGCAGGGGAAGGTGGTGGTGCATCAATCCGTCCTGTGATCCAACTGTCCTGGAGTCTTTAATTTTCTTCACTCTCCTCAGCCCCTCACAAGTCGTGAGACCCAGGTTGCTGCTACTCACCAGAGTCGGAAGTGGAGCGTCTTCATGGACTGTGTTGCACCCCCTAGCCTAGATGGCCTCAAAATTCTGGTCCCAAGCCCTCAGTTCTTTTGGGGTGGTGTTCCGCAGACATTGGGGAGTCCCCGGGAGAGCCAAGGAGCCACCCACCTAACCTGTGCTTGCACACAGACACGGCGACCTGCTGTTCCTGTTCCCCTCGAGCCTTGCGGGGCCCTCCTCCGAGATGGAGACGTCCACCCTGCTGGGGCTGAAGGCCTGCGGGGCGCCCAGCGTGGTGGAGGACGAGATCGATCAATACCTGAGCAAGCAGGATGGGAAGATCTACCGGAGCCGTGACCCCCAGCTGTAAGTGTGCAGTGCCCTCCTTTGACTGTCCCTAGGCCCATACACGTGAGCCTGATGGGGCGGGATGAGCAGGTGCTTGGAGCATGGTCTTAGTGGTGGATGATGTGTACACTTTGACCATCTATATCCCGGCTTCCTATTGAATCTCATAGAGTATGTTTCTACATGTTCATTCACAGTGTGAAATTATTTGGACACGCAGAGGTAGGAAGGGTGGAATGGGAGGGGAGCCCTGGCCAGATGGTTACTGTGATAGACCCTGGAGGTACATGGTTGATACGGAGCCAAAGTGGGATTTAGGAAGTTCAGAGGAAGGGCCAGATACATGGAGCCTCCTAAAACAAGCTGCTTGGCATCTCACTTGGTGC